CTATTCGCTCCGAGCCGATGCAGAGGTTGCGCCCCCTCTAGCCAAAATCAGGCAACATTTCTTGCATGTAAACAAACGGTTTAGAACATATATACATATATACATACGTACACATATGTATATATACCTTTTTATATTATATAGCGATTTTAGAGGGTCATTCCACACAAACCCTCCCTCTTCTTCCTTTCTTTTCACTACTTCAGCTGCCCTTTAGCCTCTCGCTAAATTAAGTAAAATTTTAACAGGTTTTGCTCAATGTTGATCTAGTTAAATTTTTTGTTAGCCCCTCTCCACCTCTTTTTAAATTCCACTTAATTACCACGCAAGATTTTAATGAGACCCCTGTAGCTCCTTCTTTCCCCCGAAGCCCCCATAAATAAGATAAAATTTTATCAGTTTTAACTATATTTCTATTAAGCCCTCTTAGCCTCTTCAGACACACCACATGATTTTATAACCTAATAACCCGATAACCCAATAAGCTTTCCTTACAATTTCAAAGACCTGTTTTTACCCACCTGAAAAATACAGATAGAATTTAATGTGTTATTACTTGTCATACCCTTAGAAAAGTCATGTGGCATTACGTATGGTTTTACGTATGGCATTACATAAGGGATTTTAGCTTGACATTGCAATATGCTATTTAATTTGAAAAAACACATGGAATAACAAATTGGAAGAAGGAAAAAAAAATGTCATTTGGAAATAACTGCAGAATACTATAATGCGTCATTAACTGTAAACAATTAGTGTTACTATATGGCATAACTAAGCTAAAATCCTTTATGTAGTACCATATGTAAAACTATGTGTAATGCCATATGGCTTTCCTAAAAGTATTACAGAAGTAATTCTACGTAGAATTCCGTCATTTTTTTTAGGTGGGTAGCCTTCCATCAGCAGCATCTTCAAATGAAGTAAAATTATATCAGTAATCATGTCATTTAAAGTTTAATTACTTTTTGCACCCCCACTTGCAGCTACCCATACACTTTTTCAGAAAACCTTTCAGCCTCTCACAATTTTTAAACAGCTACTTTTTACCATTTCTTAGCTGCACGTTATTATTTCTTATTTAAGTATAGTAATTATTCTAACTGTATAATTAAGCACATTTTCATACTCTCAGTTTTTACCTGATTTTTATTAAGTTGAATTTTTGTTTAGTCCATTACTACCCCACACACTCATAACTTTATAACCCAATAACCAGATAATTTTACACAATTTTGAAGAACTGCTTTCAGTCACCCTTCTGCCGCATCTCTAAATGAGGTACAATCATATCGTTTTTCATGTCATTTATAGTTATATGACTATTTTCACCTTGCGTCTCAGCTTTCCTTACAGTTTTAAGAAAGCCCCTAATTTCTTGAACATTAGCACATTTTTTAACCACCGTTACGGTAGTGCTATGGCACACTGATTTTTTTTCTTACATTTTCTAAAAGCTTATGAATTGCATTGTTAAATATGTATAAGAACATAACATTATATTTTTATACTTAATCAATAAGAACGCTTAAACTTATAAAATATTTAAACGGTGAACCACGATCGTGGACCTATTTATCACAAAAAGATAGAAATCATAGTTGTTGAAATATGTCAAATAATGCGCATCGTCATGAAACAATATTTGAATAATAATTTCATTGATTCAATATATTTATTTACTTCTTTAATAAACTGTGCGAGAATAGAACATAAAATTTCATAGTTTTGCTACTGTAAAGAAATTGAATGTTTTTTATAAACTTTAGATAAGTTAACGTCGAAAATTTTGTTCCAAACATTATCTTTTATTTCCAAAATAATGTCACGTTCTATTTAAAAATAAATTCTATTTTAGTTTCTACATCTTGATAACGA